ATTGAAGACTTACGGGTGGAAATAATTATTGAGTTGTATTCTTACACCATTAAATTGGGTAAACATACAATAAAATAATTATGGTTGCCGTTGCTACTAAATAATTACTCCGGATTTATCATTAGCGTGTTAAAGTCGGAGTAGTTATTATTTAGGTGAACTGCGAGAGCGTCCCTGAATACTTTTCTGCAACTCCACACATTCTATATAAAAATAAATTGACAATCCAACTTTTATAAAAACATTGCACAATTAATTTACCAATTTCTACCCCTAACTTTTCAACATCGAAAACTTTGTGTTGTTTGGAACTCTCTTCTTTTACACTTTTTATTTTATCTCTAAAACCAAAAAGACCAAAATATTTTACAACTTCTTTTGTAAAATTTTGTTTAAATTAAATTAACTCGCGTCTCTCTGAGGTTCGACACCCTACTTACAAGGGATTCTTTTTAGTTGTTATTTTTGCCCGTTCTATACTGCAAATCACAGGGAGCCTTCACGATGTCCCGGAAGGTGACCCCAAAAGGATACTTTTGGCCAACGATTATCAGAGATTGCGCAGAGTACGTGCGCAAATGCATGGTTTGCCAGGAATTCCAGAGGATGCCAGGGCGACCGGCGACGAATTATACCCCGATAAGCACAGCGATTCCTTTTGCCCGGTGGGGCATCGATCTGGTCGGTATTTTGCCTCGGGGGACAGGGAACAACACATACTTGGTGGTCGAGATTGACTTTTTCACCAAGTGGGTCGAAGCCGCCCCCGTGCCAACCATCACTACGGAACAGATGACGAAGTTCGTTTCCAAGCAAATCTTGTGCCAATTTGGGGTGCCCCAGCAGATCATCACTGACAACGGAACCCAATTCGAGGCCGGAGGGTTCAACGAGTTTCTACAGAGCTGGGGCATAAAACACAGCTATGCAGCGGTCGGGTACCCCCAAACCAATGGGCAGGTTGAGAACACCAATCGTACCATCATGGACAGCCTCAAAAAGAAGATAATGGAATGCAAAAGTGCCTGGGTGGAAGAAGTGCCCTATATTTTGTGGACCTACAGAACTACCCCAAGGAAGGCAACAGGTGAAACTCCTTTCTCGCTCACACATGGATTTGAAGCAAGGGCTCCAGCGGAGACCTCGTTGTTAAGTTATAGAGTAGAGACGTTTGATGCTCAAGGAAATGAGGAGAACCTGAGGGCAGAGCTGCACCTCATTGATGAGCGAAGGGAAAGGGCATATATGCGGGTAGAAAACTACCGCCGGCAGGTCAAGTCATATCACGACCAGCGGGTGCGACCAAGGCAGTTCAAGGTGGGCGACTGCGTCCTTCGGAAGAGGGAGGTCAGCCGGCCGACCGATGGAGGGAAGTTTTCTAAAAGCTTCGAGGGGCCATATATCATAAAGGAGGTGTTGGCTGATGGGACATTTAGATTGCAGACTCCAACCGGTGGCGACGTTCCGCGAGTATGGAATGCCGCCAACCTTATTAAATTTTATCAATAGTGGGTGAAGCGTCGAACCCTGTCAAGCGACCAAGGTTGAAGACGACGCCGTGGCAAGAAAGTCTGAGAGAACGGCTAAGTCTGGAACACAAGATCTGTTGATCGCATGAGCGACCAGGGGATCTTGGGGGTATGGCGACGCCACAAGGGTCAAAGTAACCCGAAAATGGCTAAGTCAAAAGAGGCGAGGTATTCTC